TCGTCCTACATCACTGATGAACTTTCTCGACCAGTACAGGGATCAAACATGGGAACTCCAGGTTAGCGAGCCAATGTCCTACCTACTGAGCCACCATGGCTTTCCTGTGTAAAGAAATGAAATCTATTTTCTCTCTACTTACAAAGTTGTCAATCAAAAGTCAATAAATTAAGACTTGTGTTTTATGGAGATTCTCAAGAGAGTAGTTCGATCTCAACAAAGACATCCTATACAGGTCTTTATACTGTACATGTAATCATTTCAATGCAGTGTGGGAATTGACATAATTCAAGTGCTCACTACTGCACAATATTTATATTCCATCAAATGCATTGAGAAGACAAGTCTCAAGTTTCATTCGTAGAAAAAAGATTGCCAATTTCTGTAAGGCGCCAAAATGACTAATTTCTAGCTCACATAGAAAGAATTCCATTACATAGGAGTGTGTGTAGAACAAGATGTTTAGATATTACGCCTACAGTATAGATCATCCATGCCACTATCACCTGGGGTTTATGAACCTCCTTATAGTCCAAACTATTTAAGTGACATCCATTCATTCATTTACACTTGTCTACGATATCACCCTTGATGGAAGTGAAAGTATAACTCCAGGAACGAACAAATTCATTTACTGAGGTGTCTACTTGATTATGTAATTGTAATGTTTATAGATGGATTATCTCATTATTACTATTACTGGTCATAGCTGACTTTAGATAATCCATCTTGGGTGCCCTGTTATGGTGTAAGTCTACCCCTTAATATTAGGTGAATGGTTGTATTAAATACTACCTGGTCATAGCTATATAATATACACATGTTTCTTATAACAAGATTAACTCTCGGTACCAATCTATATCCTAATTTATAATAGTCCTAATATTTAATAAGATTAACACTCGGTACCAATCTATATCCTAATATATTTTGGACCAATTCATGACTAGTCCACATTGAAATTTGTTTTGATGTGAATGAGAAGTGGTATCAGGTGTTCTAGACAGTGTAAGCATATCCTGTCTGGCTACCATCTGTTCCAGACCACTTATAGGACAATTAAAGCCATTTCTGTTAATGATGTGAAATTTTAGCCTCGCGGGGATATATCCTTTATTGTAGCTCGGTTTGTATATCCTAATGTCGTCATTAAGCAGAAGACCACTGTCACGACTGAATTCATTGCTTAGTTTACTACCTTTCTGTACTTATTACTGGAACATTGTTTTTGTTTTCTTGAAGAAAGGCATATGCCCCAATGTTGTATTAATAAAATTCATTCTTACTTTTTTTTCAAAGTGTTTACTTCATTGCATACAAATGTAGACTAGAATAATATAATAAAATTGGGAAATTAGTCTACCCCTTTTTTGTGTGAGTTTGTTTTCATTCTAATTGAAGCCTGTATCACACTATAAATGAAATGAAATGAAATGGGGTTTAACGTCCTACTGTTCTGCTCCTAACCTGGGCTAATGAAGACGGGCATACGCCATACAGTGTGCTATGAGGGAAATTTTGCCCGGGCAGCGGCACTATCGCCTACTCTTATATCGAATTCCAACTGCCAAGGGATCTTTTACGTGCAATCCAATGTATACACAGGACCTTGGTTTTTCGTCTCATCCGAATGACTAGACAGCTGTCCTTGTCAGGCCCTCCGTCCTGCATCACTGACAAGGGGAAACCATGCCGGAAAATCTGGATGAACTTTCTCGGCCAATGCAGGGATTGAACACCCGACCGTATCACACTATAGGCTTGCATCTGTACAGTACAGCATGGGTTGTGTGTGTTTGATCTGTGGGTTTGTGTTCTGTGTTTCTATTGGGTTGTTGTGTGTGGTGCATTACTCCTGCACTTAGTGTATGATTTGCTTATATTTGTGCACAAATTGGAAGAAACCAGGAGTACCTGGAGAAGGCCCATAAGGCAACTCGAATTATGATGTATCAGGATCAAACCCATGACTTGCATATATGACAGGACTTATGATCTTAAGATGTATCAGAATTAAACTCATGACTTGCACAGATAACATACATTAGACCACTTGGCCAGCCATTCCCCACTGCCCCAGGTGTTGTTAAAGTAAATTGTTATAACCATGCAGTATAAACATATGGATGTTATTTATTATAAGATGTTTGGATTACCTGACTCCTACCTGTATGATACCTGTCAGTTATAATTAAATATTTTTTTAAATCACTTTCAATACTCAAGTGTTGGCTTCAATGTATAAAGTTATATAAACCTTAATGTAAACAATAAATGAAAACTCTCTTAACTTGTATTTGTCCTGTAGCGGCATTTAACTGTTGAGCACAAAGACTATGGAAAACAATCACGTTTCCACAAGTGTTTTCTTATCATTAAACCACAAGGATGTTTGTGCTTAAAAACGATAAAGAGATTTTTGTTGAAACTTCACACCATATATATATAATAAACCAATGATTGTATTTCATATAAAAGGTATTTCTATGTAAAATGTGTATTTAAGTTAATCTGACATTCTAGTTACCGGTAATTAACCCTGTGCTAGTGATAAGAAATGGCTTACTCACAAGTAAACTGACCTCCAGTATATCTATAATACTAGTTCTCACATGATAATAATATAGTTTATACATGTATCGTCAGTGATGAAGAAGCAGAAATACAACTATTGAAAGAATTTTCAATAATGATTGACACGTTACTATTCTAACACCATAATGTAAGTGTTATAAGCTACATGTAGTCCATAGATGTGCAGGGGTTGTGGGTGTGGCCTAATTGTTTAACTTGTGCGCACAAGACCATAAGATCTGTCATTGAGTCAAGTGGCGTAGTTTCAATTCCCCATTTGTACGTGACAAGGAATAGTGTCATCTGTCTAAACCTCTTGCTTTTTCTTCGGTTTCCTCTTACAGCTAATTACCCCTATGCACAAACGATAACTGAACTGTGTGTTAGTCCCGCAATGACATTTCTCTCCATTTCTCTACAATTACTTAAGAAATTTTAATTTTAAAAAACAAAATTAAGTACCATTAAATATAGGTAAGGTCTGTATAGACAGTTTATACATGTACCGGTATGGGTTTTATCTATTCCCTAACAGATGCATATGAGATTAGTAACTCTAGATTATAGTAAAATTCATATTTCGGAGATAGCATGTTTTCAACCATCTAGCGGTTTTCATAATGAAATTAAAATACTTTAAAGAGCCAATTTTAATCTTCTGACAATATTCTTTATCATAATTGTAAGTATAATTTTACAAGTAACCATACAAATTGTTATCTATAGTACTCATATTTTTCCTCATACCTATATATACAGTACATCTAGATGTTCTGCATGGTTACTCCTGAAAGGACTCAAAACTCTGAAAGACATGCGAATATCTAATTACATACGATTCAACTGGAGTGCAGTAGTTTCCTACTAACCTAAGTATTTTTCTAGTATCATCAAATAAGATGTCTATTGTGCCAAAAGCATTGTCACTACAGGTGTTTATTGTGCTAAAAGCTGCCCAAACGAATTGTCAAAGAAGGTATTTTATATGTCTAGGTGTAATACATCGACATATAAATAAAGTTCAATGGATCCTAAACATAGTCAGTTATCTACATACAACCTATATCTCCATTTAGTGGTAAAAGGTTGGAAATAATAGATCTTTCTAAGTTATCTTCTCATCGGCTACATAAATTGACTGTATCATCCTTCCCTTGAAGAATAATCAGACAAGCGTATCTATGGTTTGTATTATCAATGACTATTATACAACATATATGCACCTTGTATACCTATATCATTATATCTATATATGTGGTGATTAATGGTGATCATAGTGTGAGAGATAAACTATCTCTAACTTCATCATATTATATTATATAACATCATACCAATCTATTCTAAAATAACTTACACCTCATCATACCATATTATATAAAACACTAGACCATCATAATTCATATTATATAACATTACTAGACCAATATTATATCATACTATATAACATCACTAGACCATCATATTATACTATATAACATCACTAGAACATCATATCACGATCATACTATATAACTTTACTAGACCAACATATCATACTATATAACATCACTAGACCAACATATCATACTATATAACTTCACTAGACCAACATATCATACTGTATAACATTACTAGAACATCATATCATACTATATAACATCACTAGACCAACATATCATACTGTATAACATTACTAGAACATCATATCATACTATATAACATCACTAGACCAACATATACTATATAACATCAGTTAAAAACACTTATATAGATATACTATGAATCTATTAACATACATGTACTACATTTCGATACACATACAGGTATCGTATGATGTTAATAAATTCAGAAGTAGTATATATATCTATATAAGTTTTTCTAATTTGTGAAATCTATTTCTATGTCTTATAAGTTATATAAGGATTATATATAACATCACTAGACCATCATACTATAACATCACTAGACCATCCTGCCAACCTATTCTAAAATAAACAACATATATATTGTTACGTCTGATATATCTGGTATTACAGCAAATCTTCAATTGTAGACTTTGTATAAAACATGCATGAGTTTGATCGTACTCAGCCATCTAACCTGTCAAATTAAACAATGCTCAGTTCCCAAATAATTCTTAACATTTTCCTTATTACATTCTCCTTATATAAATTTACATTTTAACAAAGTCTTCTTTAAATAGAGTTTTAAAAAGTAGGTCAGATATCGTCTCAATTTGGTATCCATTTTTGAGGACAGAGATACGATATTGCCTTGATAACAAAATACAATTAAAACAGCAAGAGAAAAGAGGCTGTGAAAGTAATAACTTCAGATGGCCATAACTTTCAATTTAAACTTATGATTTTTTTTTTTTTTGTTGTTGAGGGTGAATAATTTGTTGTTTATTATAAATGCAATATAATAGATCTATCATTCTTTTACAGGAAACTTTTTCCAAGCAATGTGTGACTCAGGTTTATATATATCTGGCAGACATTTATTACCTTCCAACAAATAACTAGAATAATTGATTCAAATTTCATTCACGTTTCTAAAGGCCAATTGATATATTTAACGATTGATGTACACTGGTTAAACAGAGTGTAAAATCATGTGACTTAGAGTATTAACTGCCACACTTACTCCATCTTGAATAATGTTGCAGAGGGAACATGATGGTTAACCATCGAAAAACTTTTAATTAGTTGGTGTTAAAATTGTTTTTATATTTTCCATATAAATAAAGTTGGTTATTATGAACATTTCCGGAGAACTTGTTTGTCGTATAATCTCATCTATAGCTTACCGAATGTGATTATTTCTCCAATATTGAAATAACAAAAGGGGATATTAAACTAGAAGAAAGAATATTTCAAAATTTAATTATTTCACTCTTGCACGAGACATATGTGTGTTTTGTTTTGATGGTACAAGCCCAATCAAACACCAAGTGAACCTACATGTAGATATAACAAGACGACTAGGTCATCAACATCTTGAGCTGTTGGACAAGTTTGGGAAGGTACAGAGAGATATTGGTAAACAACAACCAAACACTAGTAGTGTACATGTTATTAAATGTACAGCAAATTTCAAGAGACATCCTAATTATGCCACCTGGTTGAGTTCAGTAACAAACTACAACTACCGTTTTTTTTTTTACATTACACTGTCAAAGTCAAGTTTAAAAAAAAATTAAAACAGTTCAAGATGTAGGAATGAAGCAAGATGGTAAAAAAAATTTCAGAACCTTTTCAAGTTTTATAATGATCTTTTGAGTGGTTTCCAGAATAATGATTACACACCAAAAGTTTTTTTACAATTACACTGTCAAAGTCAAGTTAAAAAAAAAACCTGAAAACAGTTCAAGATTTAGGAATGAAGCAAGATGAAAAACAAAATTTCAGAACCTTTTCAAGTGTTGTAAAGATTTTTTTAGTGGTTTCCAGAATAATGATTACACACCAAAACAAGTAATTCGTTAACCAAGACTCTTTGAATTAGCAAAAGTCACAAGGTACTATAATATTTATAATAGGGTACAACATTTCACAAAGATATCTTGAACAGTTTATGTGCTGTGCACCAAATATTAAGTTAGATCTGTTTCCATGGTATAAAAGTTGTTCAATTGAGAAATTTTGAATTAGCAAAAGGCAAAATTACTATAAATAGGCTGATATATGTGTACAAAGTTTCATAAAGATTCTTTGTTTATGAGATGTGCTCCAGAATTAAAATTGCATACCAAAAATTTCAAAAATTAAAAACTAGAAGATATTTATAATCAGCCAAAGGCACAACTACTACAATTGAGTGATAGAAACAAACTTAAGTAAATATATCCTGAGTGGTTCCTGGAAACTGTGACAGACGGAAACAGCTCCATTAAATATCCCTCCCTCCCTCCCTGAACTTTGTTGATCTGTAACTCAAATAGAATTTAATCCAATACTAAAATAAATAAACTTTTAAAGAAATTCTACCACCAACTCTTTATTAATATTTGAGTAAAATACAATCCATGTTGTAAAATTAACATGACACATATGAAAGGAATCCTATTATATACTTTAAACTCACAAACACAATTGCAGTTTAGATCAATCTAAAATAGTCCTTCACATAATATGAATTACACATAGATTTAGAAGGCATCATGCATGTACCTACCTGAGAATCATAGTTACTTGCTTAAAGTTATAAGTCCTTACTCCTTTATATATACTGGTGTATATGGGATTATTCACTGTATATTATACCTGCCTATATAATCTATATAATATTCATACAATAAACTGTATTCAACATAACATGCTGTATCTATGAATAAATCAGTTGAACTAACTACTAGAGTGTGGAATACGCCACCACGACCCTGAACACAATACACATGTAAGTAAAACACTATACACAGTGAAGTCCCAAGTCTTGCCTCAATGCTATAGTCACGTGTGTTACATGTACGGTAATATAACTCTTAACGCATGCTACGATGGAAACTTGAACACATGGTGTACAGTAAACTTGTAAATCGTGCTCTATTGGAGAAAATCATTACTGTATACTATCTGTATAAACATTTAACATCGTGTCATAATATAGGTAGTCAATATGTCTTGTTCTACAGTATAAGAATTCTTGAATAAAACAAGATAATTCTATCATAGATTAGTTTTAACCGATAACAGACACATCAAGTTGAAGGGCGTCAATAAAAGTGGTGTACATTGGGAAGATGATCCTATTCATGCTAAAAGTCAACTTCTATAAGTATCCTTAAATGGGTTATTTACACAAGAGCATTATACCGCCCAATAAAATACATGGAGGTAGTATGTAGTCGATGCAACATTATTAATTGGAATTTAACCCTATTTATTTTTTAATTTACATCTTAGGAACTTGATTCTTGTAAACACAACAACTGAATAACAACTGGTTATCCAACAGTGACCTCTAGTTGACTAATGTCAAACATTAGTCAAATTAACTTTAGAACTTTGATTTAGTCAATATCTTTTAATGCATTTGTTCCTTTAAAGTACTGAGACTTGAGAGGTACTAGTATCTGAAAATAAGGACTTGCCTGTCATCCGAGCCCGGTCAACATGGAGGTAAAGTATGCTGACTGTGACTGGAAACATACATGTATACAACAAGAATTTAGGTTAGAAATATGGTAACACTTATTTCAACAGGGCCAATTCATTCAGTCAAATTATTAATATTATATATATATTTCTGCCTGGTGATACAACTGCGATTTGGCACACAAGAGAGTTTCTCTCCAAACTAGTTTGCTTAAAATCAAATTTATTCATTTCGATCATTGTTTCGTTTTCTTTTGTCTTGTGCTCCATATTCTATGTGACAAGATTCAACATTTGACAAATTTTATCACTGCATTCAGTTATTAGTCCTGCAGATGTCTCAATGAAAATATCAAAATAAAACGCATCTGTTCAGATAACGAGAGACAGAGAGAGAAATGGGGTTTAACGTCCTCTCGACACAAACTAGGTCATTTCGGGACTAACATATGGTTCAATTTTATTTCCATAATTCTCTTGCGCGTCGGGGTCTTTAGCAGTGGGAGGAAACCGGAGGACCCGGAGAAAACCCACGATGTTGGACAGGCGACCCTACTCCTTGTCACGTACAACTGGGGAATCGAAAACCCACCAGTTGACTCAATGACAGACTTTATGATACAGCGCCCACATGCTAACCATTCAGCCATCCAATCCCCCATTCCGATAACGAATGGCTGCATTTGCTGAATAGCTTTTAAAGTAGTGTAAAAAATTGGAACCATAAGAATGAAACAAATACTCAAAAGAATTTAACCATGCCGTTTTCATCAAGGTTCCCATACCACCTCACAACAGTTGTCCAGAATGGAAACATTCTTAGAACCGAACGCTTACATTTGACCATTTGTAATCATTGTAGAGATAATGTAAACAGGGTTTTAATCTGACAACCACTTGATGAATATCATTAAACTAGAGAGTAATTAATTTTAAAAATACACTTATAATACAAAATCCTCTTATATAGAGTATTTTCTAGGTTCAATATAATAACACATGCACGCAAATTTATGTAAAATAGCATTAAATTTCACTTAAAGGACAACACTGGTGTTGGTCATTATCATATATTAAGTATTATCTAGTGACATTCAATTACGTTTTATGAATTGTCAGATATCCTCTCACAGTCTCACCTAACAACTTTTGGTCTTCGAAGGAATTATTTGTGAGCAGAAATTTGCTGGTGTATCTGTTATCACTTGTCACTTCAGTCAGTTATATAGAAGGATAACTCGTAATTTCCTTTTGCATTCGTCACTTCCATTTGTTGAAACCTTCATTACCCATTTACCGTAGCAATGATCTCTGTGTTAAAATTATATTTGGAATGTGTTTAATTAGTTCTATCACATATGAAATGAAATGAAATGAAATGGGGTTTTAACGTCCTACTCTTCTGCACCTAACCTGGGCTAATGGAAGACGGGCATACGCCATACAGTGTGCTATGAGGGAAATTTTGCCCGGGCAGCGGCGCTACGGCCTACTCTTATATCGAATTCCAACTGCCAAGGGATCTTTTACGTGCACGCCAATGTGTACACGGGACCTCGGTTTTTCGTCCCATCCGAATAACTAGGCAGCTGTCCTTGTCAGGCCCTCCGTTCTGCATCACTGACAAGGGGAAACCACGCCGGAAAATCGAGATGAACTTTCTCGGCCAATGCAGGGATCGAACACCCGACCTCCAGGCTAGTGAGCCAGCGCCTTACCCACTTAGCCACGTGATCCCCCTATCACATACGTGATAATGACTGACACCAATATTGTCCTTTAATATTTGAAAAATCAATATAAGAAATTATCAGATATAATATTAATATCAATATGAATGATAGGAACCAAGTTTAAAATAACAATATAATTATTACAGGATAGTCAATATTATTACCTGTTTTATAACTGATTAATATCACAGATTTATAAACTTCAATAATATTTCTATAATGTTAGTCTGGCTATCTAATTAGAACATTCATCACCAGAAAAATCTTCCATATAATAAATCTCTTCAACAGTCAGACTTTCTGTCAGACATAAATGTACATGTATGTAGTTCTGTAATGTCACATTTTGAATTCTTTGATCAAGAGCTTGAACACCAGAATTATCAGGAGTAAGAGCATCCCAAGATTCTAATAATAATTGATCAGTGGTAATAAAAATAAATCTTGATGTAATAATCAGGGAGGGTTTTTTTTTGGGGGGGGGGGGGGGTTGGGGGGGGGGGGGAGGACGTTTCTATAGCACAGACCTATTCCCTATCTTTTTTAACAGGCTGGATCCTCCTTCCCTGCAAGTAAATTGAATAATAACTATTCCTCCACTCTTTGGTCCTAAATTACATGAAAAAGAAATAAAGCAAAGTGGCTCACTCTCTTTTTTAACTATTTAACCCAAGTCAAGAAATCAAATATTTATCTTATTGAGGCCAGTCACAAGAACAGATGACAGCTAATAAAACACATAAAACAAAATGTCTACATTGATGAGATAGTAAACATGCTTTTTATTTTACAACTCTTCACCTCCCGTGGATTAAAAGGTTAAATCTAATCTTAATCAGTTTTAAACAGACTTTTAAACAGACAAAAATAACTTTATTTGCATAAGTCATGTCTGAGATAAGGAAGTCAAAGACAAGGAAGTGTCTTTATTAATTATA